CTTTGATTGGTCCGGATTTGAACAAAGCGCGCTTTGACTCGTTCGCGTTCATTGGCTAGATCGTTTAATGAGTCATTGAGTGCGGGCTTTTAAATTTGATTGGCGGGCGGCGGAGGCAATCGAATCTGGTCAGAGGTTACTTGACACGATGAAGATAGGCTATGTACAGTGAAGAGGTTAGTGTCAAGTTAGCTCTGAAGCTCAGGGTGGTAAACTGTGGCGCAGTGCTCTCTTTCTGTCTCTCTTCCTCTTGCTCTCTCTCTCTCTCTCTCTCTCTCTCTCTCTCTCAGATGTCTTTATTATGTCAATCGTAATGAAAGCAGAAAAAAACATGAATTCAAAGAAAATGCTTTATTTCCGCACCATAACTACTAATAAAAGCTTCACACGAAAATACTGTGTTCTGCTGGCCACACACGGTGCGGGGGAAGTTTTTCCTTAGTTGCACTCGTTGACGGCGAGATTGTCCATATTGGAGTTCATGAATGCAACGGGTGAAGAGAAATGACCTGACAGGAAGCTGCCAAGGTACTGGTCAGCAAGCTGTGTGCAGGTGCTGTCGGCAGAAGAGGACAGAAGGGCACATCCGCCATTAGTCAGACCAATCATAGAGTCGGTGAATGGGGTGTCCTCTCTAAGTACTGACTCCTCACCACTGACCCCTACATATCTATCTTTATATACCTTCGCATATACACACTGGACAATAGAAGTGTCACCTCCTGAATCAGAGTAACTGTGACGGGTGACACTTCGATACAAAAAAGGATACTGTATTTGTACTCATACGATTGATTTATTGGCTCTTTACACAAACTTGTGTGACTGTACTTATGTATGTATGGTTCAAATCTGTAAAATAATAAAAAATGCTTAAATAACTGAAACCCTAGAAACCCTAGAGCACATTATATATAGATATAAAAAATAAACAGATAAATAAATATTAATAAAGTGAATACATTGAATAATAAAGAAAAATGACACACTACTTTTGAAATTATCCACGTGTCCACACCCAAATTTTACTTGTAAAAACCACAATATACATACCCAAAACCAAAATTTAACTCCATATAAATTTAATAGTGATAATGACAATTATATAAAGTACAAGTAAATGAAACTTACATTTTATGTCCTCTTTTGTATGACTAAATTCTTGCTTCTTAGGTGTATGTGTAAAAATGAACTGCTTGCTTCTTAGGTGTGTGTGTAAATCAAGGAGTTATAACTCCTTGCCCGCATGTTCAGCGAGGTCACGGTGAGGTCAAACAGACAGACCACCTTATAATTGCTCAGACACGCAGACATTATCGCTTTCACAAAAATGGACTAATGCCCAGACTTAAGACAACTCTTCATATGTGTGTCAACATTTCTCAACCAATACATTAAGCAACACATAGAAATATAAGTCATTCCATTTTATTATGAAAAAATCAGACCACCTTGAACTCCATACATGTAGATGGCCACACTCCGTAATAATCTCTCAAGAGATTATAACCGCACTTAAAAATGACAATAATCAAGAAACAGTAACTTTCAATATTAGAACGGATCCATTTACCATTGGAACGTATGGAAAATTGACCTTTGCCCCAGCAAATTCCCGCCAAAATGAAGAGTTGTCATTCCTATAACTTTTAAACATGTATTGCATCTTCAAACATACTGGTACTAGTAAATTGTTTTTTTTTTCTAGAAAGTTTTCTTAAATACTAACAATAATTCGTTTAGTTGGAGGACTACCGTACTATACTGGATTAATAAAACCGAATTTTAGGTTTAATGCTTTGTCTATACATGTATAGGCCCTCTTGCTTTGGCTTTCAGAATTGGGAGCACTTCTTGCTTTCGATTTAATCAGTCTTTTCCAAATAATTGTTCATACATATTTTATGAGACTAAATGAGTTTCGGTTCTCATTGGGAAAACGTTTAAATGTATTTCCGTTGTTACTACAGGGAAGATGCCCTATTAATTGTCCATTTAGCACCGTACCGGTTGGACACGTACTGTTAAGGTTACGATACGATACGGTTAAGACCAATGCGATGCTCAAAAAACAAATTATTCATTATTTATTTATTTTACACAAATATCTAAACAAATAATTTATGTATTGTTAGTAATTGACAGCCACGAGTGAGTAAGGAGTGGGAGTGTTTTGTAGAGTAATTTGAGTTGATTGACATGACCTCGTCATACTTTAGCGCAGAATTTAATGTTCACTAATGAGAACGATGTAAGAGGTTTTAGGGAGTACAATGCAGGAGGTTGAAGGGAGAGGAAGAAAATGTAGGTAACGTAGTAAGGAAGTGACAATAAAGAGAAGTTTTACCTCGCGTAATAAGTAACATAAAGTCAATATCATCGTCACATTTACATTAAAGAAACATGTAAAAAAGCTAAATAAACGTATGGTGCATTTTGACACCGGTTAATGTCGCCGGCGGGTTATCGACATATTGTCCAGCTGACCAACTTTGATATGCAACAATGAAAATACTGTCAGGTCAACTGCATTATTGGGATACAGTGATGCATTATTATTTGGCCAACAGTAGGTACTACGTAAAATTCCAACTGTAGCATGATGAAAAAATAAATGATAAGAATTTAAATTATTACATTGTTGTAAATATGAGAACCAGATACATTTTATTTAAGCTTTATGTATGCATTAAATCATCATCTGTATGGACCTCCTCATATTTTCTGGATCACAAATGATATATGATAAGTGAATGATAATTATCTCTATCACAGAAAACCACACACGTGCGTGCACACACCCACACACTGAACAACGCGCATTGAAATAATTAAGTTGTGCAAATCATCAATATATTTCAATATATTTCGGTCTTTCTTGCATATATATTCGGGACGGGGAATTTACAAGAAGTTCATTTAGCCGATTTTGTTGGCAAGTGTGGCGCATACACCGCTGGCGTAGTTTTGTACGGTTCCTTTCTCGCACTCTTTGATGACGATATCGGCCAAGTTTTTGCACATGTTCTCGATAGCTTTAGAGAACAGACCTGACACGACGTTGCCAACGTACTTTTCAGCAAGCTCTTTGCATTTCTGTTCGGCAGAAGCGGCCAGTGCGGCACATCCACCATTGACCATACCAATCACAGAGTCCATGACGGGGATGCAGATGGCTTGAACTACGTCATTCATGAAACCCCTCTTCATAACCTCATCTTCAGCCAGAGAACGGACTGCAAAAAAGCGAGCATCCAGCCATGATGATATTTTATAAAATACCCTTATCTTTTAAGCTCATCTTTGCTAACAGTTCCTTTTAAATTAAAAACAAAACAGGTATATTTTTGAATAGTTTATAATGAAGAGAAAATAATGAATCACCAAAAAAAAAAAAAAAAAAAGCCAGAATATTTTGAAAAGGAAGAAAACGACATTTATTTTTGTGATGCAAAGAAAAGTGGGTTAATTGTTGACGAAAAGTAATTGATGAATACAATTTTTCTGACTTTCAAATACTATTCCTTTATTTAGTGGCGTCGTTTTCCAAATTAATAGTTTCTCTAAAAGCCATAATCTAGAGAGCTATTTGGAGATTCATGTTTAAGTTATAATTTAAAATGTCAAGAGAAAATTATTGAAACAAATTGAAATTATTGACTTAATCATTCAAAGGACCAACATAAAAAATAAAGTCTACTTACCAAGACGCTCAGCTGGATTAGCCGTTGCCACGGCAACCAAAGCAACTAGGATCAAAACCTTCATGGTAACGGAATGCGCAGAACAAACCTGTTGAAGAAGATATAACAGCTAATTAAAAACAAAATCTTTGCTGCCTTAGAATAAAAAAATTGTTTTGTTTTACACATTGGTGGGCCTTATCACAGAGGTCAAATACAAATTGTCCGTTGTTATTTGTTCCAATCACTGAAGGCAATAAGCTGTCATTATTACACTGTCCACTGCAAAAACAAGCACAAACAAACCTTTTATTTAAAACAAGAAGTTCTCATAATTATACTACTCACTGCAAGAAGCACAGACCAACCTTAAAAGTTCTGGTGAATACCGTATTTGACTGAGTCCGCAAAAGTACGCAGCTTGCCGTCAGTTCTAGCTATATATAGGTTGGAGAGCACATGCCCACGCGCTGGGGATCAGTCTTGGCACGATTTTGCCCTCGTTGGTTTGTGGTTCCCTTAATTCACGTATTGCTCGGGTCGTCCTTATCAACATAAGGGGCATTCTCGAAATTACTGATGAAGTGACAAATTGGAAAAAAATTACTCAGTTATTAATAAATTCAGATATTCATATCGTTAACAAATTGGGATTTATCGGAGAAAGGGACACACGTGAAATGCTAACTTAGAGTTCAACAACAAAACAAAATAAGGCGTTATATCTGTTAACTGTGCCTCCATGCTCTCTTTTTCCCTTGCTCTTGCTCTCGCTCTCTCTCTCTCTCTCTCTCTCACACACACACACACATCTTTATTTGATGTTACTCTTTATGAAAGCAGAAAAGACATGTTATTTTTGCACCATAACTACCAATAATATCCTCTCACCAATAAAACCGTAATCTAAGGCCGCATTCACATCGAGAAGAGCCGAGGATAAACAAAGCCGAAACCAAAATATGGCGGACGTGCATGAAAGGAAAACCGCCTAATCTTTTAATAGTCTCTCCGCCTCTCACACGCCTCCCCACGCGTCATCCTTGCGGGGGCACAGTCATTAAATCTCGGCTCCATTCGCCCGGAAGCTACCTGAGAAAAATTAAGTGCGCATGCTCATTGGTCTTGGGTCAGCTGACATTATCTCCGTAGATAGCCGATTCATTGCTGCTCTACGGGCCAATTCATTCCTTTTTCGTCTCTGTTTTGAAAGATAAAAGAACAGAAGAGCTTTTTTCCTTCGATCGCCTCCGGCCACCATGCTTTCTTCACCTCGAGTTTAATTGATGAGCATGCGCACTTAATATTTCTCAGGTAGCTTCCGGGAGAGTTGAGCCGAGATTTAATGACTGTACCCCCGCAGGGACGACGCGTGGGAAGGACAGATTTATTTACTGTCTTAAATATATTCTTTTGAGTAAAAGATAAATCGTCAGTGTTCTGTGACTAAATTAATTAACATTCGCACATTTCTCATCTAACGGGTGACGTCATAATTGCGATATTGGGGAAAAAAACTGAAAAATCGGTTTCTCAATTTTTTCTTTTGCATCCGCGATTACCGTTTCAACGCCGATTCAATGACACAATTTATGGCCCAGTCACAATGTTGGCGATCTGTCGGGGATTAGTTTTGGCCGGGGGTCGTCGTAGAGAATAAAGAATCCTTGAACAATCCTAGCAATAATCCTAATAAAAGTGGAGCAGTCACATTGTCTGGGATTTTTTCAAGGATTTTGAACCGGTTTTGTCGAAAAATCGTGGGATTAGCCTCCGATCGCCTCCGATTGCATCGGAAGCGATCGGAGACGATATCTGCGAGCGTCTTTTCTTGTAATTTTTTCCCCCTGGCGCCCTTATATACACGGCGATTTACTACGATTCCACCGTAAGATTCGTCGGAGACGATCACATAAAGCGTACTAATCGTCGCAGGGCGCCTCCGATTCAGTCGGAGGGCGCCGGAGACTACTCGCAGACATTGAATCTCAACCTGATTTTCCAATCCCACACAGAATCTTGCGACAAGTCTCAGATTATTCGTAGGACGCCTCCGCTAATCGGAGGGCATCGTAGGTCATCGGAGATTGTGTCTGGGATGCCCAAAATGGGTGAAAAATCTTGCGAGCAATCTTAAAATTTTAAGTTCAAAGTTGGGGACCGCGACGGGTGTGTCGATGTCTAAAAAATCTGCGACAACCCGCAGGCGTCCGGAGAGCGCCTCCGACGGGTGCAAAATCGTGAGATCTGTCTCAAGATTTTGTTCAAATTTCCCGGGTTTTGCCCATCCCCGACGCATCGCAACTGATTTGTGACTGGGCCATCAGTACTCCAAAACCCTGGCAGGGATTTTTCTTAAAAAATCTTAGTTCAGATTATATCATTAATAAAGCAAGATAATACCGTTGTTTTAATGAAAATCTGTAATTAGGGGCTCATAACTCCATAACAAAAGATTGAAACCAAAATGTCGGCACGGGATTGTAGCCTATACAATCGTGGGAAACTCTACCAATTTTCGTGATAAAATCCTGTCAAGGGATGAAGTTACGCCCTATACCGATTGCTATCTCACTTCAAAATAGAAAGGTTTTAAATTGACGATTAAAGCTTAGAGTTTCCTTGAGACTGGGATGTCACATATTTCAGTAAAGACGGAATTTCAGGATGAAATTGCAGTGCAAAGGTCAAGTGAGAAACCAAATGAACTGTATACAGATTTTGTGAAAAGGGATTTTGAGGATAACTGCATGTACAAAAGGAGTTTGAGGATAACATTGCTCTGGAAGTGCGACCAGAGATATAACCTCTTGCACTGTTTAGGAATGTTTTTGCAGATATATATGTATACATAAAATATATATAGATAATGGCTTTGTTTTTACACTGATTTGTCACTGGATTAGTTCTGTATTCTGTGTATTAAACATAACTTAAACAAGACAAGAAAGTATATGGAACTGTTACTATGGCAATAGAAAAACACGCGATCTAGAAAAGGTGCAAGAATATAATTAACATTGGTAACAAGAGCACTCTTCGTGGCACGCTGTCTCCCAAATTTGGGTGGTAAGTGAACAGCGCTTAAAGAGAAATTTCTAGTCTTTAGCTCATGGTCTTGCAACATTTTGCCTCTATGTACTTCTTGGAAGAACAGTTAACTAATTAACCTGTGAAACCCATACATGCATCGAAGTTGGACAAATAAAACTCGTTTTTATTCATCCAGTAACATATGTACGTATGTAGTAGGGGTGGTTAGACCGATAAAAATAGTGAATTTGATTACTGGTATGCCAACAGAAGTATGAAAAGATTACTTGTAATATATATAGCAAAACACAGAGGATTACAATTCCAGAGAGAGTTATGACGAAAAAAGTCAGTGTGTATTGATGAAGTAATTACTTAAAATCACCGAAAGTCGTATATAATCTGAAATCTGGAAGTGCCGCCGTATATTAATATCTGATACACTGGAATTTTAATAGGGTGTATTTATTTGATATATTCAAAACCCGTACTTCCTGATCGACATTCTTTAGTTATTTTAACAACTGAAAGTTTTCTCAGTGTTGTTGGTTAAATTTTAGCAGTCATTGCACGCTACGACCAAAGACCATGAAAATCAAAATTCTGCTTTATAGTTAAAGACAACAGGACGTCCAAGGAAGTTTATACAGTTACGGGAATGTTCCTTAACTTTCATCAATTTTTTGCATGAGTCCTGTAGTCCATACGGAGCTATTTCCTCAAATATAAACTTTTGTCATTTTGTCAACAAGTTGTCTGGCAATTCGTTTTACTCTCTTTCTCTATACTCACTTGTAACCCAGATGTTCAGACTCGCAATAAAATGTTATTTTCCTATACTTTTCTTTTTGGTGGTTTGTGACAATAACTTCCATCAATATTACGTAGTTTGTTATTTTCGTTTCACTCTTTATATTAAATTGAATGGGAAGCATATGTTTATACAGATCCCTATTTACAACAACACGTGATCATGTTGACTGGAATACAGAGGAATAACATTTGAGGTATTCAGCATAGTGGCGCCATCTACAACACAATGGCTCTGAAGAATTTGTACAAATGTTGTCACGTGCCATACCACCAAGCGGTCATATGTGGGCGATGCCAATTCATCGATTTGACACGTGCACAAAGATGATAAAAGTTTCCCTCAGGTAATAGGATTGACGCACCTCTTGGGGGGGGGGGGGTTGTAACCTACACCCTGGCCAAAGGGGCCGCTAGGAGACTGTTAGAAAGTTATTGTACTTTAATTCTGTATACTACTTTAGAGGTCACTTATATCCAATGGCAGTTGTCAATCTAATGTTCAGCGAGATCACGGAGAGCTCAATCAGACAGACCACCTTATAACTGCCCAGACACGCACATTAAAATGGTTTTCACTAAAAAAGACTTAAGCTCGAACTTAAGGAGATAACAACTCCTTATATGTGATTCAAAATTTCACAATGAATACATTATAAACAGCACATAGAAATAAAATTAATTCTGTATTTTATCATCGAAAAGGTGGCTTTTGCAATTATTATGGAATTGTTAATATATCTTTTATGGGACTTATTGAGCTTCAGCTCACTATTGAAAAGGCGTTTAAATAAATTTAGATATATTTTGAGTTTTTTCACGTGTACTGCTCCTTACTGGGAAGATGCACTATCAATTGTCCATTTAGATCAACACGATTTTACGAGTACGGCTAAGGTTCGTAGACCGATGCTTTGCTCAAATAGCAAGTGTTTAATTTTTTGCACCAATAGGGTAATAAGTAATTTATAATAAAACACGTATTAAAAGCTTTATGAAAAATTTAACGTATTTTTAGTTTTGCCACCGGTTTATATCCCCGGTGGGTTAACATCATATTGTTCATCTGACCAACGTTGATACACGGCAATAAAAATTCTGTTGGATCAACTGCAGCACGCTTGCGATGCATTATTTTCGTATTGCCAATGGTAGGTACCTGTAGGTACTGCGACAAATCCCAAAAACTGTAACGTCTAAAAGATCATAAAATAAATGATAAGAATTTAATTACCAAAATGTTCATAAGAGGACCAGCTACATTTTATATCTTTCATATTTGACCTTAACATATGCATTAAAGCATCATGTGTATGGAGCTTCTCATTTTTTTCCGGATCACTAATAATAAATGATAAGAAAATAAATATTTCTCTTACACACGCGCGCGCTGACACACAAACAGTTTTGCAAATCATCAATTTATTTTTCTTTGTCTTCCCTGCATTTATTTTTGATACAGGAAACTTACAAGAAGTTCAATTAGCCAATTAAGTTGGCAAGTTTGGTGCATACGTTGCCGGCGAAATTTTGCACGGTTCCTTTGTTGCACTCGTTGACGGCGATTTGGGCCAAGTTAGAGCACATGGTTGCAACAGGGCCCTTGACTAGACCTTTCAGGAAGCTGCCAAGGTACTGTTCAGCAAGCTGTGTGCAGGTGCTGTCGGCAGAAGAGGACAGAAGGGCACATCCGCCATTTGTTAGACCGATCACGGAGTCCATGACGGGGGTACAGATGGCAGCAACTAAGTCACTGATGATATTCCTCTTCATCACCTCGTCTTCGGCCAGAGAGCGGGCTGCGAAAAATGTACATACAGCCATGATGGTATTTCACAAAATACTTTTATCTTTTAAATTTATTTTTGCAAAGACTACGATCAGATTTGCGTTTGAATAAAAAAACAAACATGTATATTCCTGAATAATTTATAAGGAAGAGAAAATTAGAACAAAGTCCAAAGAAACGCCAGAACATGTTGAAACAAACAAACAAAACATTATTGTATTTTTGTTTTGGGAACTCAAAGAACAGTGGGTTAATTGAAGTAGAAAAATTTTGATGAAACTACTTTTCAAATATTTTTCATTTATTTAGACCCCACGCTTCCAAAACTGAGTTTTCCGTCAGCCATCACCTAAAAGGGCTGTTTAGAGATTATTTTAAGTTAGTATTAAATGAGGCAAGAGAAATCGTTGAGTGTCATCGTTGAGTCTACTTACCAAGACGATCAATGGAGCTTTCAGCTGGTTTAGCCGTTGCCACGGCAACCAAAGCAACTAGGATCAAAACCTTCATGGTAACGGAATGTGCAGAACAAACCTGTTGAAAAATGATATAACAGCCGATTGAACACGCAGCCTTGTAATTAAACAAAGTTTTTTTTTTGTTTTAAAAATAAGAATTTTGGCAGACTTATCATTAAAGGCAGTAAATTGTCATAATCACACTATTCACTACAATAAGAAGCACAGACAAACCTTTTAAAAGTTTTGGGGAACGCCGTATTTGACTGAGTCTGCCGAAGTGCGCAGTATTCCGTCAGCGCTGGCTATTTAAAGGGTCAGAGAGCACATGTCCACGCGCCTGGGATTGGTCTTGGCACGATTTTGCCCTCGTTGGTTCGAGATTTCCTAATCTCGCGTACTGTTCAGGTCAATTTTAGGGTCAAAGCATTTTCGAAATTAGTGATGAAATGACTAATTGGTTAAATTACTAAATTAACAGCACATTAACGAAAATGTTAATATCGAGATTTATCAGAACAACGAACACACGCCGGATGCTTACTTTAAGTTCAACATCAGTTTCAAATAAGGGATATTATGTCTTTGAACTGTGCACTCTCTCTTTCACTCTTGCTCTCTCTCTCTCTCTCTCTCTCTCTCTCTCTGACATCTTTATTTGATGTCAATCGTACTGAAAGTAGAAAGGACTTGTATTCAAAAAATAAGCTTTATTTTTGCACCATAACTACCAATAAAAGCTTCACACGAATAAACAAGTAATTTTAACCAACGACATTTGCGAGCTGGCCACACACGGTGCCGGCGAAGTTTTGCACGGTTCCTTTGTTGCACTCGTTGACGGCGAGTTTGGCCAAGTTGGAGCACATGGAAGCAACAGGGGAGGAGAACAGACCAGACAGGAAGCTGCCAAGGTACTGGTCAGCAAGCTGTGTGCAGGTGCTGTCGGCAGAAGAGGACAGAAGGGCACATCCGCCATTTGTCAGACCGATCACGGAGTCGATGACGGGGGTACAGATGGCAGTAACTACGTCACTGATGACACTCCTCTTCATCACCTCGTCTTCGGCCAGAGAGCGGGCTGCAAAGAAATAGCAATACATATCTTTACAGAATACACTGTAGAATCCAGATTGTTTGTGAAAGAAAAAAGTGTTGGTAATTGCAAGGTTGTATATGGAGTCAGAAACGATTAATTCGTAAAGAAAAAACATGGCAAATCGTTTTAAATATAAAAGGATATTTTCCATAATGAAATATTAAGTTTAAGAAGACTATTCCATCAACATAAATTTTCATTGATTTTCTTCAGCGACTCCTTCCGATTGCGATTTCAAATTCAAAATCTAGAACCATTAAATGTCCAAATATTAGAAAAACAAATTAAGCTTTTTCGTCTGTCATGTAACTCATAATCGAGTAGACGAAATACTCAGATTTTTGTGTTTGTCACTTCGGATATGTTCTATGGCATTCATTCTCAATTTTAAGGTCTAGATTAAAAACTAAAAGGCTATACCATTCATAATTCTAAGATCATTTGTAAAAGGATCAAGCATGCATTAAACGGAATATTTTGATTTTATAAAGAATGTCATCATCATACATCTTTCTGTTTAAACTGAGTTGGTCTGAAATACTGCCTAGGCATATAGTTCTAAATGATTTCAAAAAAAGGAGCATTATCGTAACAAAAACCAAGTGAATAAAAGGAGAGTTGTAGTTTGGCAGTTATAAGAAATATAAGCTGTTGATGACACCATTTAGAATCTTATTTTTTTCGATCACAAAAAAAAAAAAAAAAAAAAAAAATCCTGAAGGGAACTTTACTTCATTTGTCATAACCGATTCTTTTATTTCAAAGACCAACATAAAAAGTTAAGTCTACTTACCAAGACGCTGGATGGAGTTCTCAGCTGGTTTAGCCGTTGCCACGGCAACCAAAGCGACGAGGATCAAAACCTTCATGGTAATATAGTGTGAAGAACGTGCCTGATGGGAAATAATTGACAATTACTATTTCATTGAGCAACTTCATGTTTTTCAATCAATGCATTTCATTTGAATCGGGTCATACAGACTAATGTCAGTTAAGACAAAATATGAAATGCTATGAAGTATCCCAATTCCGACAAATTAGTCAATTTCATTCTAGACTTTGAAATCAGTAGCTTTTTTCAGTCGAGTTCTGATTTTTACCTACCTGCAGACGTTAAACTTAAAGTTTCAAATTTTGAATAGTTGATTGCACAGTCAAACAGCAGAATATATATGCATATCCATTTGGGTTATGTAATAGGCGATTTAGCTTCCAGACAGGGAGCGCTGAATATTATGTAATACCATCTGTTTCAGACATGTTCGTGATTTACGTTTTTACTTCTTTTTTATTGTCTATTTGAATAGGAGGCCTTTTATTACGAATAGTTATTAAGTTGTTTTCTAATAATTATTTATCTATCTTATTTCGTTATCCATTTACTTTTTGTTTAGTAAACGTTCAGTAGAATTGAAATCGGTTGAGCAGCTGAAATGGTTACAAAAGGCATTAAAAGCTGTATAAATATTATTATCATTATTATTATAATTGTATCTATGTATTGATTGGCAGGAATCCTCTTTTGAATTACTTAATATTTTGGGTTAGAAATTTCAAGGTTCAAATAATTCATTAGCGTAATTTACGTAGGGTAAAAAACCACGCCTTGGCTTTCAGATTTGTCACATTGCTGATAATTTCTCTCCTTTGTCAACATAAGATAAACTATACAGTCCCTAAGACAACATTGGCATGGCTTGGTTAAAAATATGGATCGTGCATCATTATTCTTAAAGGCCTTTTTCAATCTTTGTTTTCATATTGTTCTTAATGCTTTTTTAAAGACTTTATGAGCTTTTATTTTGTTTCAGTTCTGTCAGACCATTAGTCATTTTTCAAATTTTGGCGTTGTTACTATATTTTAAATGAATACACAAAACGGCAAAACCATTAAGGGTTACTGCATTTATCCACCACAATAATTTAAATCGCCCTTTAGAAGTGAATTTAGGTCTGTAGATAGCAGTAGAAATATGCACCCATTTCTACCTTCGCTAATGTTGTGGCGGGCGATGCTAGGGCAAAAGTTGTGCGGATTCTTGCAAATTTCTTAAGCATTTATCAAGTTTGGACAAAATAGATACGCAAAGTGATTTACACGTTCCATATTTCTTTATTTAATCAATGGGCAATACTTTCTCAGAGAAATGGTTTCTCAGGGTGTGAACAGCGATGAGCACGCAGGCACAACTACTTCGTGTCGTGACGTCATATTTAGCGAGTGTCTTGAAGTTAGAAAAAGACGTGATTTTGTTATTAATTTGTTTCATTCATGCTGAAATTATCCAAGGTTCTATTTCGGTATTGCCAGCTCGGTCATCATTTCATATATAACCCATTTCAGCACTTTAAAGCTACATAACACATTGGAAAATATAGTGAGCACGCTAGCTTGCCAGTGCTCTGACACAGGGTAACTGAAATATGTTTACGCACAATTTTATTCATACCCAGGTTTGTTAATTGAGACCAATGTAACAAAGTTTTATCATTCAAATTAATGAATGACGGTAGAAATATATAACAAATATAAGCGATAATGATGATATTGATTGAAGTCCCACTTCATGCATGTACACCCTTAAAGAATACCACGAGGATTATTTTGCACCTTTTAAGCGAGCGTTGATGATAAGAAAAACTGACGGTGGTAAGGGACAATATGCACTGAGGTCAGGCGCAACTCACATAGCTTACAACGTGATGTAGCCGGCGGTAATCTAGATATTACCCTCACCACCGGCGCCGAATCGTGTCTCCTATCTCTTTTACACCTGTTCGTATCACATGCGTAGGATTGCCTCTACTTTTAGGACCAGAACTGACCCAATCCCTTCTTCACGACTTCGTGTCTACGAGAGTTGAAATGTGGCATTGCACGATCTTGGGTCATGCTTATTCAAATTTCTATAAACTAATACAACTTTGTTTTGGCTGTACGTTGTTATATATAGGATCAAAACAGACATTCGTTTATAATTTTAGGACGACACAACACAGACTTTTGACGGTTGATAATTTAACCCTTTTGGTTTTAGCAGCACTTGTTTTATGCAGAATACCTGTTAGCTTTAATAAGTTAACGGCAATCAAGTTTTTTCTTTAAAAGGCCCCTAAACCAGAACGGAAAACGTATCATAACCATGATTTCAGTCGCATAGGGCCGGAAGGCGATCTGTAGCAAAAGGTCTCGAACACACATTTTCAAAATTCATTTGAAGCCTGTGTCTGACTGAATAATACTTAGAGAGTAACCATGGTGATAATATTTAGAGACGACTTTAAGACTTTGCCTGCTTATCAAGACGCTGGGTTGTCTTCTCGGCTAGTTTAGCTACTACATTTGTGAACAGAGCGACGAGGATTAAACCTTTGTGTCTGTAGTTTTAATGACCTGAATGCCAAAATATTAAAGGAAATGTTAATAATTCACTTTAAAGTAAAAATCCGTTATCATTCAAAACATTTGAAACACCAGATTGTCTTTCAGTGCGATTGCATTTATATCATTCCAGGAAAGCTAATCGAGGATACAAATCACGATATTTTGACTATGCGTTTGCTTTCTACTGTTTGTACGAACATTGTACCTGTAAATAGTTTTCTAGAGAGTGACAAGGGGCATAAAAATGAGCCCTTTGCACTTGTTTTATTACCGACAGTTACACTATATGGTACAAGGTGTTATGCACTGTTTAAAATCAGGCGAGATGATATTATTGTGTGATGTTCAGATAATTCTAGAGCTATTCTTTGACTACAAAAACTTCTTACAGATACCTCGGGGTATAATGTAACCTAAGGGCTCTAATCCGACTACTGAAGATTTCAAGCTGTTGTCTCTATAAGGGGCATAGAACTCATATACATATTATACTTTGTACAATTGCGTTAATCTATGGTATAAATTTTTCTGCGAATCTTCCATTTTTATCAAAAAAGTGTACATTTTGTGATTGATTGTTCAGAAAATGTTGTCATCATGTTTACTGCGTTTATTACAGTGACGTAGGTAACGGGACACAGGACACTCTTTTAAACACGGTCAATAGAATTCTTTCCGTTTTTATAAGAATTTGACTTCCCTTTCTAATGATTAATCACAGCCTTGTATGTAAAAAGTTACGCGCTGAAGAGTGGGACATTTTCAGTTACATGATGAAAGATCATTGGAAAA